CCCTTCCTACCTGAAACGCCTCGATTGGACTCCTTAGTTTACTTCTGTAACATGATGACATCACTATGTAATACTAGCGCTTCTACTGGCTAGCGCTCCAACACATTGTACGTGATGGGCTAAGGGGCGGTACATCTCTAAGTGGTCACCAATCACAACAGAGCCGACCAGCTAACCAATCAGAGCGGACTGGGCTCTGGTTTCAGACAGAGGGGGAAAAGAGGTGCTGCAGCACAGGCAGTATGAGAAAAATAAAGAGCTTCTTGAACATTAATGAAAACGTGTCGCAGTATACGCACAAATATGAATCTGAAAATGAGCAGAATAAGTCCTCTTTAATAAACCTTGCTTAAGTTTGCTTTGTGTCTTGATAATAACTCTGCTCATGTCTTTTGTTTGTGTTGCTTCCATGCCACTTTTGTCCCCTGCTCCCTCCTCACTAGGATGTGAAGAAGTGTTTGGAGGCATTGGATGAGATCAGTGCTCTTCAAGTGACGACACAACACCTTCAGAAACACAGTGAACTCATTGCCACACTCAAAAAGGTAGACAGACATCTATTTAGAGTCATCCTGTTAGTAGAATGAAACTACACTAGCCAGTGTGTTTCTAAGCAATTTGTTCAGTGGTGAAACATGTTTTCATCATCATCTTCTAGATTCGCAGATTCAAGGCCAGCCAGGACATCATGGACAAGGCCACCATGTTGTATAACAAGTTTAAGAGCATGTTCCTGGTGGGAGAAGGGGACTGTGTGCTCAGCCAGGTGCTCAACAAGTCTCTAGCTGAGCAGCGGCAGCACGAGGACGCCAAGAAGGGAGAGCTGAAGAGAGTGGAGCAGGCCAAGGAAAACAACTCGGGTAATGATTGTTAGAACATCTGTCATTTAACAAAAGAAAGTTGAACTCTTTCTGTTGGCTGGAACACATACAGACAGGCAATTATTCTTCCTGTAAAAAATGTGATTTGTTCAGTAATTTGAAGGTTTGAGGAATGTAATGAGTGAGAAAATGTGCTAATGCCATTTTAAATTCTCCCTAGTACCATTAGTTTACAATGAACCCTAAATATATACGTATGCAGTTCTTTAACAGAGTTTGCTATATTTCAACGTAGCTCAGAACGGACAAACCAAACTCTGGCACTAGAGGGCCTTTCACATCTTAAAGCTACCTGACGGCCACCGCTGATCTCATGCTTGTAAAGCTGTGCCGACGCCAGCCTCCGTGTGAGGAAGTGATATGGTAAAGATGGCCTCTGAGCGTTGGGGGAAAGTCCCACATGTTTGTACTCAACAACCCGTTACTGTAAGGCAAGGCAAGTTTATTTATATAGTACGACGGAGTATTAGGGCCACACTTAGAAGAAAAAAAACAGAGATTTTGAGAATAAAGTCGTAATAATACGAGAATAAAGTCATAGTTACGAGATTAAAGTCGTAGTTTCATAAGTGACTTGAGAAGCGGACTTGGGGGAGATTGTCTCCTTTCTGCAGGAGGAAATGGCTGCTTCTGGCCGACTACATTACATTTAGCTGACGCTTTTATCCAAAGCGACTTACAATAAGTGCGTTCGACCAACAAGATACAAACTTGAAGAAAACAGAATCATAAGTACATCAGGTTTCATAGAGCTAAAACATTTCAAGTGCTACTCAACTGGCTTTAGATAAGCCAGTCCTTTATTAGTATATAAGTGCTTTGTTAGCAATTCTTTGTTAGCAACTCTTTGTTAGTAATTCTTTGTTAGTAATTCTTTATTAGTAATTCTTTATTAGTAATTCTTTATTAGTAATTCTTTGTTAGTAATTCTTTGTTAGTAGCCTAATTCTATCGCTCGAAGTGGAGTCGAAAGAGATGAGTTTTCAGTCTGCGCCGGAAGATGTGTAAGCTTTCTGCTGTCCTGATTTCAATGGGGAGCTCATTCCGATCCCACTACAAGGCTATGGTTCGACTCCTTCTGGATCCAAAGCCTTGATTACAAGTCTCATCGTTTCTTGTGAAACAACAAATCCCCTTTGAACAGCTCGTAGATGTAACCAACGATAGCCTTGTAGTCGGCCAGAACCAGCCATTTCCTCCTGCAGAAAGGAGACGATCTCCTCCAAGTCCGTTTGGTTCTTTCTTCGAAATAATAGACAGTTTCTTTCACAACCTTTTCAAAGTTCTAATACTTATGATAATCTGAAGCTGATGTGCCAAAAGATTAAGTATTTCGTTATTTGAGAAACCTAAACAACTGCTTCACAAGATGCTCCACATTCCTTATTTTATTGCAGGACGCTGCTGTCTCCTTCTCAAGTCACTTATGAAACTACGACTTTATTCTCGTATTATTACGACTTTATTCTCGAAATCTCTCTTTTTTTTTTTAAGTGTGGCCCTAATACTCCGTCGTAATGTATCACATTTCAACACAAGGCAATTCAAAGTGCCTTACAACAATGAAAGACATTAAGAGCATTCATTTAAAAGCTGTAGTCAGAAAAGGAGAGGCAAGCGGAGAGGTATACACAGTTACACTTGTTGATGCCAAATTCTACACACGGTCCATTTTTAACAAATGATACCGAATAAGACCAAATTCATAGATGACCTTCATATTTACAGTACAATTCCTGGAAATCAGTGGTGTCCGCCTGAAGGAAGGAACCACAGTCACATTCATTTCAGATTACTATCAGTCAGCTGCAGGGCAAGAAGAGACGCATGTTAGGAACAGAACGAGCCATACGTCTGAAGCAGACTCGCTCCAGATGACCCCTTGACCCCAGACACGTCACAGTGAACGCTGAGAAAACATAGGAAACACTTTATCACAAATTCATCAGCTAATTCAGCGAGTCTGTGAGGGGCTTCTGATCGTTAACATAAGTTGCAATGCGGTGAGAGAAGGATTTCTAAAACGCCATCAGCTGACAAAGACTGTCTACAGTATCAACTTCTGACAAAATCATTGCTGCCGATATGCTTCGGAGACAAACTGCTGTGCTATCAATACATTCAATTTCGATCAAAGTTCTAACTCTTATATGCATCATTGCATAGACAAAGAGCTTAACCTGAATACAAACATCATCAAAAACCTTTAAAGTATTCTGCTTTTTGAATCAGGAAAACAATCTACAAAGGGAGAGTAAACAAAACTGAAACTCAAATTTCAATCCCTAGCCCTATAATTCACTATAAATAATGAATAAACAATAGCCAAATAAAGACGCTAATGGTTCTGTAGAATGGGTCTGACGTTATTCTTTTCAGAGCAAGCACAGACGTAGCTGTCATTGTAACAGGAGTGCTGCTGCTTTATACTTATTAAGTAAGATGATGAGGATTAAAATAGTTGAAAATGTTAATTAAAGCGTAAAAGTTTCCATACTTTAGTCTTACAAGTGACTATCAGTTTTCAGCACAGGGCAGTTTGTTAGGTGATGTTGCGTCACAAGGCGTCACCGCTGGTTATTGATTAATCGAGTATGACCAGTTGGATCAAACCGACAAGACAACGGAGACATTGAAGCTTTGGGTCGGTTTCTTCCATCCCTTCCATGAAGACATCATAGGATCTCTGTGGTTAACATGCTCCATAGAAACAGGGTAATCAGAGTGCTGCAGCCACATCCCTGCTCTCTGGTTCACTTTATTTCTTTACGTAATGTACTTCCACTAAAGTGGGTCTCTGTCAAAGGTCTCTTTCTACAACAAGGCATGCCGAATGGATGTTAAATCCAGTTTATCTCCTAAGGTCTGGAGCTCACAGTGTGTGCCACATCACATGCTGCTGTGAGTCCTCCTCACGGCAGGTTGTATTGATGATCTCGCTCAATAAGTCTGTGTGTCTCTCTGTGTTCTTCGCCTAAAGACAAGATGACAAATGGTGATATCAGCCCTGAAGAGAAGAGGCTGGAAACTGAGAGAGAGAAGCTTCTGGAAGACACTTCGGTGGGAGAAAATCACAGGTAGTTGACCTAAAACATGGAAAAGGACAACACTGGGGCAGATCTCTTTAGTTCTGTCCCCCTTTTCTTACATATATGACATGTTAATATCAGTTGCATTCAGAGTAATGTATACATTTACAGTACAAAAGTCATAAGATACTGACTGTGGCTCAGTGGGTAGAGCTGTCGGCACATGTATTGGGGCTTGGTCGCCATGCGGGAGACCCTTTAGACACTGTCACTATAGGTTTGCTAGTAGCATTACTCTAAAATGTTGTCAGAAGTTGGTGGTGTTCGAAATTAGCATCTTTAAACTAAACCTTTTTTCGCAGTATTATCTGAAGGTCCCTTAAAGTAGTACAAGACAAGAGTGTTTCAAATACATTGTAGAAGTTATTAAATATTAACCTGGCTGAGAAACATTTTCTAAAAGTACACGATCAGCTATATGCCATTTTCTTTCTTTTTTATGGTTTGGGAATACCATGTTAGTATATCACTCGGTACTTTCTTTTTTTCTTTTGTATTTTTGTACACATTTTCAAAGTGTCATTAATTTCCCTAAAACAGCTGGGTATTGCGTATTTTATTGAAATATTTTAAAGTGTGGATTAGTACACATTTGGTGCTCTAGTAAGCTGTAGCTTCAGTGGATGTGGGATTGGCTCAAGATTAACCATAGCAACCATGTGCATTGTTTTCAAACATGTCATCCAGTGAAACCGTGGAGCTCAATAACTTCATTTTTATATTATTTTAGACACTGGAGGTCTATGTATCACAAGAGTCTTAACCTTTATCTTGATTGTCTTTGACTCTAGTGGCCCAAAAGATCAGGAAGAGTCCACTTGATTGTCCGACCTGCCTGAAGAAAAAGACATTTGCTGCTTTTCCCGCACAACCTCTTTCCGATAGACTGGGGTCTCTGTCCAGTTCCTTTGGATGACTGAAATAATCACTGGTTCCCAGTTTACTCACTGTTAGTAGGTGATGCTGCTTGAAGGTTTCAGTACATTTAATCCCAAGATAGACTGACATCATGTTTTATTTTTTTACTTTGTGTAATCCTTACCTTTCAGACACATTCATTAGTCTTAAATTATAACTGTGTAAAGAGTAAGAACTTGTAGACTGGCAGCACCTTAAAATTACAGCATGCTCATCAACAAGATAAATAATTGTTGTTCCTATTTTTCATTTGGAGTAGATTTTTGATTGCACTCATTCATTTCATATGCATTGAAATAGTTTTTGACATTTGCAGAATTCACATTTCAGAGGATTTGTGTACTTAAGATCACATTACCTTTAAATTCACAAATTGAAACAATCCAAAGTTAACTTTGCCAAGTTTTCTCAAAACATGTTAAAGTGTCTGTTTTTAAGATTTGTTTTTAACGTAGATGTAAATAAGAGTATTTTTGTGTCTGTCTGATAACCTGTTTCAGCATCCAATAATAAAGTAGTACATACATAGTATCCCTTTGATTGCACAGAAATAATGTTGTTGTATCCAACTTTTTACCAGACTTTGCCCGTATCACCACCAGGGTTATCAATGAAACCTGTTCCATTTGATCCTTTAACTTCCTGACTAGGCTTTTTACTATGAATGGTGGGTTTTTTGTTATTTTTAGGCAGTATTTTAATCAAAAGCAGTTGACTGCGTCTTAGTTTTTTTGGCTGTGGGTTTTTAAATTAATTTCATCCTTAAAACTCAGTTTCAAATGTTATGAGCTCAAGTGTTCAAACTCTCAGCAGCTTCATAAAGGCTGGTCCTGTTTGGTCTGATTTGTTGCGGCTTGGCCGTATGAAACTGAGTTTTAAGGATGAAATTAATTAAAAAACCCACAGCCAGGTGAGGATTTTGTAAGTAATAAAAATACTAAATTGTTGCATCTGCATTGTTGTGTGAATGGTTTACAAATAGAGAAATCCACAGCCCACAGTCAAATTAATTTCCAGTAAATGTCAGTTTATTTTACACAAGTCGGAAAATCAAAGCATTAACAGGCGGAAAAAATGGACAATCTTTGAAAAAATACATTTTCATAACTTAAACTTTCTCTCCAATATATAATATTTCTCTGAAATATAAAAAACTAAACTAAAAATGAACTGTATTTTACAGAATGATGAGTGATCTGAGCACGAACAGCCTTAGTTAAATGCTCCACGGTCCACATAGGGGAAGGCCTGGAAGTCCCCCAGCTTGTTGCCTTCAGTGTCGTAGTGCAGCATCCGGAAACACTTGTCACAGAAGAGGCACGGGTTGCTGGGAGCAAACCGGTCATTGGTAGTAACCCATCTGTGAAGAGACAGAAGTTAAAGATGTTCACGCAGTTTGAGAACCCCAACATTGGTTATGCACAGAGGTGGAAGAAGTACTCGACTACTACTAGTTATTTTACTCAAGAAAAAGTCAAAATACTACAATGTAAAAATACAAAAGTATTTGCATCAAAATATACTTAAAGCACCAAAAGTCAAGTTCTTTGTGTGAGTAATGTCCCATTTTAAAATCATATTAAATTACTGGATTATTATTTTTGATGCAATAATGTGTTCATGACAGCTGGTAAAAGTGGAGGTACTTTTAATTACTTTATATACCACTGCTAGTTGTCTTAACCGTTAATAATATCATAGTTTGTTTATTAGTTATATTTTGTAATGGCTAATAATCTGAATCTTTAAAGTAACTAGTACCTAATTTTGTCAAATAAATGTAAACAAAAGTACAATATTGACTTCCAAATGTGTTGTGGACTCGAAGTATAAAGTAGAATGACAGAAATACTCAAGTTAAGTACCCAAAAATGTTACTTATATTACTTGAATAAATAAATTGTTCTCTTTTTTTCACTGGTTATGCATGTCTGATTGTTACACACCTTCCGATGTAGACGTGGCAGACGGCACACTTCTGGGTGGAGACCCTGTGCTTGTGTGTGAGCAGAGGATACAGCTTCTTGTCCAGGCAGTCGTCCTTATGGGTCAGTCTGAAATATGAAAGGAGAGGAAAAAGGACCAGGATCATTTTCTGAAGTGGGATGAGAACACAGCTTTGTCCCACACTTCCGGTGTTAAAAGCGCCTTTTAAATTGGCCTTTTACACATTTATCAGGCCTGTAGCGTCTTGTGAAAGCGGTTAAATCCGGTCTGACAACGAAGTGCTTTATTTCAAAAGGTTGTGGTAATATCACGAAGATTCAGAAAGCGTGCTGACAAATCAAACCCACCATATGTAATGGGTATGATCCCTGACCGTTTCCATACCAACATGTGCTTCTGACTCAAAACAAGCACCTGATTTATGATTAGATGCGACTAGATAAAACGAACTTGGATAGCTTCACTGGTCTTTTGATGTGCCAAATTGTAATTCACAGACATAGCTTCAGGAAGTTTTCACACTTTAGAACACGTACTTATTCAAGAATATGTTTAGGTGTGTCTCATATTGGTACAAAACCACTAATTGACATGAATTATCTTGTAATGAGCAAGCAGTTCAAATGAATGTAGGATCATTAGGTTTGACTGCTCTCCCTTCATGCCTTCGGGGACCGTGCCTTCAGTGTCGCTGCCCCCACCTTCTTGAACTCACTCCCTGCAGAAATCCTTCATCATCACATCACAAAACCAACCCTTAAAACTCATCTGTTCAACATCGCCTTCCAACATGGGCGTAGGAAGCATCCTGAATGTGGGGCGGACATTTTTAACGGGGGGTTTGGGGATCCCCCCCACGAAAAAAAAAAATAGATTTCCTGTATTCTGGTGCATTTTAACAGGTGGTTTGATACTTTTATGTGGCTATACTAGCATGAGGAACATGATGGGTACATTTTGTAATTTCATCCAGTAGTAAGAAACATATTTGATTATTAATTCAGAGCCGTCTTTGAATGAATAAAAAGCAGTTTAAATGCCCATTTATATACAACAATAAATATGTGTGAATGCATTGAGAGATATTGTTGTGGAGAGTCCTTTATATATAAATCGCAAAATACATTTGTGAATCCTTCTGTGAGCATTTATTAATATTGAGACTGATCTGACTCCATACAGATGTTAAGTTCACCTAGGAATGGTATCATTGACTTAAATGTTGCTCTTCTGTCTATATTGGTCATATGATGCCCCTTGACTGAAATGTTTCCTGTTCAATATCCCCACAGATTTCCTTAAAATTCTGGGATGAGAGTCCACATCACAATTTACTCTAAACTGTCATTTCCCTTTCATCACTCACCTCAGCAATGGACCTCTCTCCACTGTCCCTGTATTCTGCCTCTGACTCACTCTCAAGCGCCTAGATGTCAAGAGACATGGTGAAGTGATAATTATTTATTGAGCAGTATACTCTTTCACATTGAATCATAACAAGTCCTACTGAATGTAAATACAACTGACTCTAAAGTAAGTCCCAGTCTGTGACATTGGACATTTTGAAGACTCAAAGCCCCAAGCAGTAGGTAGAATATTAGCTAGTCTATGTAATGTGCACAGAAAATAAATAGTTAACTGAATACTGGGATGGAAATTGCCTATAAGCACTCAGTAAAACATAAACACACACAAAAATCTTCTGAATGATAAGAAGTATAATTAAAACATAATGCACATTACCATTTTGAGAGAGAGTCTCTCTAATTTTGTGGGTATACTTTTCTAGCCAAAGCGTAAAATATTAGTTATTCATACACTTGTAAGGTTATGGATGGTATTCGTTATGGTTTATTTACATCGATTGAACAAAAAAAAACACCAATTAAATATAGAATAAACTAGTCAATTGATAAATAAAACTAATACGTATAAAAATTATAGAGGTCAAAATTTGTTATAAAAACCAACGAACGAGGATATCAAGTGTAACGTTACTAAAGTTTGGACAAAATAAATAGGATTTAATTAATATTTCCTCACGGAACCTTTAATAAACAAATGTATTTAACACTAGTTTGCAACTCTGGGTGACTCATTAATCCTATTTCACTTGATAGATTTGTGAGTTCTCAGTAATGGAGTTACTCGGAGAGTCAGACTGTCCTAGTCTGAGAGAGAGGTGTAATAACATCTTTGTCGAAGAATATAGGCAATCGCGTCGCTTCGAATTGTTGGAAGGGGCGCCATGGCCAATACGTGGGAGAGAGATAGATAGTATAGAGAGAGAGAGTGCGACCGACACTTCGACTGGCCGTCGCTTTTGGCTATTCGGTTGTAGGGGGTGAAAGTAGTGAATGTCGCGGTAGCATGCCGCGTTACCTTTACATTGGCATAAATAAACATAAATTAGAACACCTTCACGTCTAGGGGACAGGAGTGGTCCCCCACGACGCTCGTGGGAGTCGTGGCGATGAAGGGTGCCGGCCTCTTTTTCGTACTTTAACGGTCCAATATCATAAATAGTACATTTGTCCCTGTACTTATTGGGCTCTAGAGAGACACGAGTACATTTTGTGGTTACTACAGGTCACATCCTGCGTCAGTCACACAAAATGACCTCGGAATCAAGCTATTTCTTTAAAAAAGACCAAGAAAAAGAATTCCACTGGATAGACGTTTTACGTGAAACACTCAGACTGTCGTTCTGTACGGCATAGCTTTCGCGACCTCGCGACATCATGAATTGTATAGGTCCGGACATCTACCAACGACAAGAGGTCTTAGGCGGGTCCGTTTCTTTTCACAATTTAACTCGTTTTACTCCTTACCGATTTTACGTACTAGGCAACCATAAAAGCTTTATTTTTTCATATTTATACGAGGAAATATTATCATACCAGGTGTGTTATGATAATAAGTTTATTATCGTAATCAGTGAAATT